TTACTTATGCGTAATGTGTACAAGTCTTGTTTGAGTGTCGTGTGAACAAGTCTTGTTTGTGTCGTGTATACAAGTCTTGTTTGTGTCGTGAATACAAGTATTGTGTGTACAACGTGTATGTTGTGTGTGCAAGTCTCGTTTGAGTGTCGTGTGTACAAGTTTCGTTTGAGTGTCGTGTGTACAAGTCTCGTTTGTGTCGTGTGCACAAGTCTCGTTTGAGTGTCGTGTGTGCAAGTCTCGTGTGAGTGACATGTGCACAAGTCTTGTTTGTGTCGTGTGTGCAAGTCTCGTTTGAGTGTCGTGTGTACAAGTCTCGTTTGTGTCGTGTTTGCAAGTCTCGTTTGAGTGTCATGTGTACAAGTCTCGTTTGTGTCGTTTGTACAAGTCTCGTTTGAGTGTCGTGTGTACAAGTCTCGTTTGAGTGCCATGTGTACAAGTCTCCTTTGAGTGTCGTGTGTACAAGTCTCGTATGAGCGTCGTGTGTACAAGTCTCGTTTGTGTCGTGTGCACAAGTCTCGTTTGAGCGTCGTGTGTGCAAGTCTCGTGTGAGTGACATGTGCACAAGTCTTGTTTGTGTCGTGTGTGCAAGTCTCGTTTGAGTGTCGTGTGTACAAGTTTCGTTTGAGTGTCGTGTGTATAAGTCTCGTTTGTGTCGTGTGCACAAGTCTCGTTTGAGTGTCGTGTGTGCAAGTCTCGTGTGAGTGACATGTGCACAAGTCTTGTTTGTGTCGTGTGTGCAAGTCTCGTTTGAGTGTCGTGTGTACAAGTCTCGTTTGAGTGTCATGTGTACAAGTCTCCTTTGAGTGTCGTGTGTACAAGTCTCGTATGTGTTATGTGCACAAGTCTTTTTTGAGAGTCGTGTGTACAAGTCCCGTTTGTCTCGTGTACAACTCTCGTTCGAGTGTCGTATGTTCAAGCCTCGTGTTTACAAGTCTTGTTTGGGTGAAGTATGTATAACTCTTGTGTGTTTCCGAAAGACTTTTGTAGTACAAAACTTGTTGTGTCGTGTGTTCAAGTCTCGTGCCTGTCGTCTTTTTAAGTCTCATGTGAACAAGTATCGTGTGTTTCGTATTTACAATTCTCACGCGAACAATTCTCTTGCGTTAAGTGTAAAAGTATATTGTATTAAAGTCGCGCCTATACAAGTATATTGAAATTGTTGTGTGTACATGTCTCGTGTTTGTTGTGTAAACAAGTCCCTTTTGATTGTAGTGTGTACGTGTTACGAGTGTGTCGTGTGTATACGCCTTGTGTGTACAGGTCTCGTGTAAATCGTTTGAACAATGCACGTGTGCGTCGTGCGATATGTCTAGTGTGTACAATTCTTGTGAGAGTGTAGAATGTACAAGTCTCATGTGTCGTGTGTACAAGTCTCATGTGTCGTGTGTTCGAGTCTCGTGTGTGAAGTGTTTACAAGTCTCATGTGTATAAGCGTTTACAAATCTCGTGTGTGAAGTGTTTACAAGTCTCATGGGTGAAATGTTTACAAGTATCATGTGTCGTGTGTATGTACAAGTCTCATGTGTCGTGTTAAAAAGTCTCATGTGTCGTGTGTACAAGTCTCATGTGGCATGTGTACAAGTGCCATGTGTCGTGTGTACAAGTGTCATGTGTCGTGTTTACACGTCTCATGTGTCGTGTTACAAGTGTCATGGGTCGTGTGTACACGTCTCATGTGTCGTGTTACAAGTGTCATGTGTCGTGTGTACACGTCTCATGTGTCGTGTGTGTTACGAGTGTGTCGTGTGTATACGCCTTGTGTGTACAGGTCTCGTGTAAATCGTTTGAACAATGCACGTGTGCGTCGTGCGACATGTCTAGTGTGTACAATTCTTGTGAGAGTGTAGAACGTACAAGTCTCATGTGTCGTGTGTACAAGTCTCATGTGTCATGTGTACAAGTCTCATATGTCGTGTGTACACGTCTCATGTGTCGTGTTACAAGTCTAATGTGTCGTATGTACACGTCTCATGTGTCGTGTTACAAGTCTCATGTGTCGTGTTCACAAGTCTCATGTGTCGTGTGTCCAAGTCTCATGTGTCATGTGTACAAGTCTCATGGGTCGTGTGTACACGTCTCATGTGTCGTGTGTACACGTATCATGTGTCGTGTGTACACGTCTCATGTGTCATGTGTACAAGTCTCATGTGTCGTGTTTACACGTCTCATGTGTCGTGTTACAAGTGTCATGGGTCGTGTGTACACGTCTCATGTGTCGTGTTACAAGTGTCATGGGTCGTGTGTACACGTCTCATGTGTCGTGTTACAAGTCTAATGTGTCGTATGTACACGTCTCATGTGTCGTGTTACAAGTCTCATGTGTCGTATGTACACGCCTCATGTGTCGTGTTACAAGTCTCATGTGTCGTGTTAACAAGTTTCATGTGTCATGTGTACAAGTCTCATGTGTCGTGTGTACAAGTCACATGTGTCGTGTGTACAAGTCTCATGTGTCTTGTGTACAAGTCTTATGTGTCATGTGTACAAGTCTCATGTGTCGTGTGTACAAGTCTCATGTGTCGTGTGTACAAGTCACATGTGTCGTGTGTACAAGTCTCATGTGTCGTGTGTACGAGTCTCGGGTGTGAAGTGTTTACAAGTCTCATGTGTATAAGCGTTTACAAATCTCGTGTGTGAAGTGTTTACAAGTCTCATGTGTGAAATGTTTACAAGTATCATGTGTCGTGTGTATGTACAAGTCTCATGTGTCGTGTTACCAAGTCTCATGTGTCGTGTGTACAAGTCTCATGTGTCGTGTGTACACGTCTCATGTGTCGTGTTACAAGTCTCATGTGTCGTATGTACACGTCTCATGTGTCGTGTTACAAGTCTCATGTGTCGTGTTAACAAGTCTCATGTGTCATGTGTACAAGTCTCATGTGTCGTGTTTACACGTCTCATGTGTCGTGTTACAAGTGTCATGTGTCGTGTGTACACGTCTCATGTGTCGTGTGTACAAGTGTCATGTGTCATGTGTTCAAGTCTCATGTGTCGTATGTACACGTCTCATGTGTCGTGTGTACACGTCTCATGTGTCGTGTGTACACGTCTCATGTGTCGTGTGTACACGTCTCATGTGTCGTGTGTACAAGTCTCATGTGTCGTGTGTACAAGTCTCATGTGTCGTGTGTACAAGTCTCATGTGTCGTGTGTACAAGTCTCATGTGTCGTGTGTACAAGTCTCATGTGTCGTGTGTACAAGTCGCATGTGTCGTGTGTACACGTCTCATGTGTCGTGTTAACAAGTCTCATGTGTCGAGTGTACAAGTCTCATGTGGCATGTGTACAAGTGCTATGTGTCGTGTGTACAAGTGTCATGTGTCGTGTGTACAAGTGTCATGTGTCGTGTGTACACGTCTCATTTGTCGTGTGTACAAGTGTCATGTTTCGTGTTTACACGTCTCATGTGTCGTGTTACAAGTGTCATGGGTCGTGTGTACATGTCTCATGTGTCGTGTGTACAATTGTCATGTGTCGTGTGTACAAGTCACATGTGTCATGTGTACACGTCTCATGTGGCATGTGTACACGGGTCATGTGTCGTGTGTACAAGTGTCATGTGTCGTGTATACACGTCTCATGTGTCGTGTTAACAAGTGTCGTGTGTCGTGTGTACACGTCTCATGTGTCGTGTGTACACGTCTCATGTGTCGTGTGTACACGTCTCATGTGTCGTGTGTACAAGGGTCATGTGTCGTGTGTACAAGTCTCATGTGTCGTGTGTACAAGTGTCATGTGTCGTGTATACACGTCTCATGTGTCGTGTTAACAAGTGTCATGTGTCGTGTGTACACGTCTCATGTGTCGTGTGTACAAGTGTCATGTGTCGTGTTTACAAGTCACATGTGTCATGTGTACACGTCTCATGTGGCATGTGTACACGTCACATGTATACTTTATAGAAATAACTATTACCACTGATTGTTTATTTATGGACAAGCAATCTGTTTCTGTATATTACTGGAAGACCTCAAATTTGAGTATAAATTCCAGGGTTGGAGGAAATCTCGCGAGAGTGTATTGTGCTAAGTCTCGTGTCTGTTGTGTGTTCAAGTCTCGGTTGTTTCGTGTGTAAACCTACATGTATATCTTATAGAAATTACTATTACCACTGATTGTTTATTTTGTCGGGTGTTAATCTAAGCCTCTCAAAATACTCACCACAAAATAGAAATGTCTCAACTGGCATACTAGCTGTGTTTAAATTGTGGGTATCTGTGGTCCGTTGATTAGAGGAATAACTGACCCATCTGATATTTAACTTATTTTAGATAAAGATTAATCCGAGTTGCTATTCTTTAGCGAACCAGGTAAAAGGGACGCCAAATGAGTTTATGGCAAAGCGCAGCGTCCGTCGTCCGTCCGCGTCAACCATTTATCTTAAAACAACGTCTACTGAATAACAAAGAGACACAGGGTCATGATGTCAGTTGCATGCTGGGATCAAGTGCTATATAATTTGTTCAAATAAATATCCTTGGACCACTTTCAAGGTCACAGAGGTCAAATGCGTTAAGGTCTTTAAACCAATATTTTGAATGATGAAGGTGCCCACGTTCGAGGTACTTGGCCAGTAGTATACTTTGATGAAAGGTTATCAAGTTTGCTCAAATGAGTGACACTGACCCACTTTCGAGGTCACAATGGTCAAATTTGATATTTTTGTTAAACAATTTCTAAATAACCAAGAGGCCTACCGGCATGCTTTTAACCATTAGCGTGCCGTATAAAGGCAATTATGTCTTTTCAATTTTTAGGTAACAGGTATCAAATGTTTTAAAATCTTTTTAAAAACTACTTCTTAATAACCCAGAGGACTAGGGTCACGATATTTGCCATAGCTGTGCTGGGATGAAGGGCTATCAAGTTTGTTAAAATAGAAATGACAAAAGTCAAACATCGTTGTATTTCTACATTGTTACTGTTCCCAACAGATTTGTGCATGTTTCATAGAAGTATCGATGTTTTTAAAAGTAAAGACAAATAACGGAAGACACAACTTCATTCGAAGCTTTTATTCTAAAGTTGTTCCACAACCCCAAATAGCGATTCAGCAGGCTGAAGAGAGCGCACACACAATAACTTAACCAGCTGATAAAACATGACTCTAATTTGTCAAACGAAACTTGCTGCGAGATCTGATAAAGACAGCAACAGAAGAACGTGGTTTGTCATGTACCAAGCACGAGCAGCACGAGCACGAGCAGCGAGCACGAGCGCGTAGATCCAAAGTACGACACACTTAGTTTTACATCACGATGTTAGCATGACGATATGGGAACCTTCACTCAACACATAATGCTGTTTTCATTAGACATTGTAATCATTTAAACAATGATGATGTTGGCAGTTCTACTCCAAACGGAAATTACATGAAAGCAGGTTTTTCTTTTTAAACAAAAGAGCGATTGCTTCTAAAATCTATTTATAGCTCAAGGCCTCCTCTTTAGCGTTTCTCGTGTGTACAAGTTTGTCTACGCTAATCTGGTTTTGGTAATTGCATAATGTAACAAGACGGCGTAAAATTGGCAAAGCATTAAAAAAAGTCTTCTTAGAAAATCTTGTTGAATTGACTTTGTGACGGACAAAGACTATAATCAAATGTAACTCTTGGTTAAATACTTCAATGATTTTATGAGTGCATCTGTGATAAGGTTTTAACCAAACCCATTTACAGTAAAGCCTTGGTATATCAAAGTTTTATGTATCCAAGAGGAATACAGATAAATCAAGATACCTTCCAAGGGAGCGATAAAGACTGGACATTCCAAATATCTCACCTCCTAAAAACGAAGTTTGATTGTATAGCAGCTCAACTACAGCGACGTTTCAAGAAGTGTTTTCTTCACAATGTTTGTTTTCCGTTTATCGTTATTCTTGGTTTCCGTTTTCGACACTCTTTGACCAACTGAATTAGTTTTCTCATTACTGTCCGTTAATTTTTCAGTTCCTTGAAGTTGTCTTCCGGTTAAGTCTTCATACGAACCCTCTCTCGACGATACTGCTTCAACGTATCCCTCATCCGGTATCGATTTGGTAACTCGCGCATGCGTATTTTGTAAATTGCGGTTATCCGGAACACGTTTGTTTAAACAATGTTCCGGTGATGGAGACAAGATCTGTCCTTTCTCGTGTTCGATAATCTTTTGATCAGGCAGTTTTTGTTCACTAGACATAGATTCTTTGAGCACGAGGTTTGAACAGTCACAAGACGTATCCGCGCCAGATAATGCAGTCTGTTGACGTTGAACATTGAAAGACGTCGTTGTTTTTATGTTGGCAAAGACCTCATCCTCGCCACAAGAAAGATTCCCAGAGGAATTCGACATTTTATGTTCACAAGAACTTTCCGGTTTATTTTGAAGATCACGTGCTTTCACATCTCGTCTTGGATTGGTCACACGGCTTCTCGTTCTAGACGGCGAAGAAAAGAGCTGTGTAGTTCTGTTACACGGTAAACTATGTCGCCTCGTACTGAACACGTGTTGGTCCCTGAAAGGCGATCCCTCGGAACCAGTGCTTTGTTTAAATTGGGGGGATACTCGAGACACAGGGAGTGACTGGACGGAATGAACGGTCTCAACAGAACCGTAGTAGTCTGAAGTAAAACTTTGCTCTCGGATGTGGTCGATGTTTGTTGTAGAACCCGACAGTGCCTTGGAAACTCTTATGTTAGACCGCTTGGTAACACCCGTCTTTTCCTCCTGATTTCTATTTAGATTCAAGACTCTAGGAGGTAACTGTTTGTCTTCCATACAGCTGTTCTCTTTGTTTTCACGAATACACTCATCTGATAATGACGATGAGCAGAGTGTGTCTTCATTGGTATTTTCTTTCTGAACTTCGTCAACCACTTTTGATATAATGCTTTTCTTATTTTTTCGTATTCTAGTTCCTTGTCCAACACCGTTGCTCACACCGTGCATTTTGGTTGGTGACGGCATTTGTTTTGACGAAGAAGCTGGTTTGTTCATTGCAGCCCCTTTACTTTTTTCTAACTGCCAGGCACGTAAAACGTCCATGTGGTTTTTAGCGTCTGCTTTGTTTGTGTTTAATGACGTTGACGATAGTCTTGGCGATGATTTGTTCGTCAGAAGGTTTGACGAGCTGCCATATTGTCTCATGACGGCTTGAAGGGGACCCGGAAAGTTATAATTTAACTTCATATCTGATATGATTTTAGAATGTGTTTCTTTGTTAGCAGATTTCGTCAAAACGGCCTCGCATTGAAAACTTGCTCTTCTTTCGCGTTGGTGGGCTTTGTTTTCAGACGAGGTGGAGTCAATCGGAGTAGACTGTGGAATACACTGTACACTCGCCCGTCGTTGGTCGAGATATCGAGGGTCAGGAAACGTCATTTGTAAATCAACAGATTGGTATCCTCGAAAGGAAGACAATTTCCGTCTAACTCCATCATCACTTAACGATGTATCTTTCCTTTGCTCATCAACGCTTACGTCACTATCAACTGAATCAAGACTGTTATTGCTGGCGTAACTGTAACGACTAGGAGATGAACCATCCTCGATCCCATTGGAATATATTTCGTCATTTCCAGCTCCGTGTTCAGCACTACTCTGTTGAACTGGCGCATCTTCTTCGGATATACTAGAGAGGCTAGCACGTGAATGCCATTGTGCGGTCAGGCCTTTGTCTCTGAGATGCTGGAAAAATAGAAACGAGGCAAATTAGTTAATACAATAAAATAGAAATCCACCTGACGGCACATATTAAGATAGTAGTGTATTGTTTAAATACTACGACCATGCATACGGAATACATATGGCATCACTGAGTGCTTCCGGTTCGTATTCCTTGGCTTCCGGTCCATTGTACATCGTTGCAGCAAATATCGACATGTAACTTGAGTTTTAAGTTTTATGTTACTCATACAAATATAATTTTAAGTGTAAACTATGGTCCTCGTGGGTCTTTATTTGGACTTATAAAAATATTGTATCTTGTATCTTGTTACAACTTTTCAATATATTTCCTATTGAGAGTTAACCGTTTCCTGTATTGATATTATGGCTGCAACGATACATTAACATAGCGATATGATACGTATCACGATACATACAGTAACAGTTGAAGCAAAGCGAAAAGGCATGTTGCAATTTTTTTAATGGCAATATTTCAGCCGGAATTGGACTTGATCCAAAATGGGCATGACTTTAAGTTTCGCACAATTCACGTCTTTTGACGTGCATTATCGAGCTGAAGCTGTCACTCCCCATGTTGGGAATATTTGTAGACTAAATTCAGAAACGACAAAATCCGGAAAATATCGTAGTTGTATCGTGACCTCCCAAAAAAATTGTTTATCGTACCGTATTCAAAATATCACGATATATCGTGCGATCGTTGCAGCCCTATAATATGATTGTGAACTAAGGTGTCTATATTACCAGAATGAAATCAGACTCCGTTATATCAAGATTCACTAGTAGTGAATCATCGAGCCCATTTAGGAACGATTTTATTCCACACTCATTGAAGACCAAAAAAAATAATTGTATCATATCAATAGCAAGAAATAGGGCCCGATTCACAAAGCGTGACATTCCATTAGCTGTAACGATATGATGTGTTGTTGGAATGCCAGTGCTATTGTTTAGTTCAAAGCTATTACGATTATATAATTAAAACATTCTTCTTTAAAGCATGTCAACAGGTTTTTCAAATTCATTCACGGCACGGTTCTATATGTTATAGCTGAACAAAAGCTAAAAACATCATATCTGATCGAAATTCCTATTTTTATACATGTTTTCGCTCCTTACAAATTATGATGTTAATTATGGTATTATGTCACAGTTATGTACATGTACCCGAGACCGGTAAGCAGCGTGTATATTGAAATGTCAAACTCGCGTGAGTTTAATCTCAAGTTATGGAATATTCCTTGACTCAACAGCCAAAACATGTATATGAGAAACTTTTAATTTATTTTGTCTGACAGTGTCTGGAATTCTTTCACATAGAAAAACGTGATTTTTTTTATTGACACTCTGAATAGACGCGTTGGACCATTGCCATTAATTATTTACTCACGGCCAACCTTACCAAAGGTTGTTACGTAATTCAGAAACACATTCCAGCGTTGCCTGAGCTGAACACTTTGTATTTTATGCACCCTTTTTACAGATAAAGTTTACCTGCAATTAACAAGGCTACACCGACTGAAACATGTGCTTTTACGATGGTTATTTCACTATGGTATACGTTGAGGGGATTGATTTTAAACACACTACTTTCACTGTTTTAACAAATTGGAATTGAAGAATTAGAACATACATGTACATGCATATACCAAATTTTAATGCCAAACCGTCACTGATTTTTCAGAACAGTCTTTTGTTGAAAAGTGATATACTTAAAATATATTCATATCTAGATCTCCCTACTCTGTATTACAAAATGATCAAACCTGATTGCTTAGGCCACTGTCACGTGTAGTTAGGCAGGATTATTAAGGGGTGAACTATTTGAATCCATTGTATTACGATACTATTTTCATTTCCACTGCATGTTCCTGTATCAGCATTATCATAAGAAATTGCGTTCATAGGGCTATGAATGCAATACGATCAGCGTCGTTTTGAAGTTTTATTCTTCCGCTCACAGGGGCACGCAACTACTATTAATATTGATCTTGTTTTAGGCTTTCTGAAGGGGCACGCAACTACTATTAATTTTGATCTTGTTTTAGGCTTTCAGTCAGAAAGCCTAAAACAAGATCAATATTAATAGTAGTTGCGTGCCCCTGTGTTCCGCTTCGATTAACAAGAGACAACCGTTAGAAGCAAACAGTATGTTGTCGTTAGGCTGTTCCGTGAATCTTGTTTGTAATGACGACAGAGACATTGTTTTTGTCATATCAATAACTCTGTACTTTGCTGCCATATAAATTTTGATATTAATTTATTCTTCTGTAGAAAACAGAGAAATCATTTTTTTCTGTTACTCTTGAATCTGAGAGCTTTTATTACACAGTAAAAACCAGTCTAAGACTGCACGGTAAAGTCGATACGACCGGTTAAAAGGAAAACGCAAAGTGCTATGGTGACCCCAGCTTTTAGCACTCCGTATCACCCGATCCCTCGTCTTAAAAGTTTAAAACTAGGTGATAAAGACTTTGATTTCGTTTTTGAGATACATATAAAACGTTCTATTAGGCAGGTAACTATTAATTAAATCGTCTTTCAAGTCCCTGTTGTGCATGTAGGTATATATATGTGTACGTACGTGTCAAAGATAAGCTTTTTTCTCGGCGGCGGGTGACACTCGGGACCAGTAGGATTAATCGTAGCTCCTGTTTACTCAGATTTCATTAGCTCATACAATCCCAACGTGAGTCAGATGAAAGAAAGAAAATGGTTTGGTCGAAAAGGGGCGAATTGGGGAATACTGGGACTGGATTACTACGGCATCAGGGACTGGGAAAGGGCTTTGATGGGGTGGGGGAATAGAAGGGAGGACGTCAAGAGTGGGATAGGGCGTTGATGGGGTGGGGAATAGAAGGTAGGAAGTCAGGAGTTGGGTGGGGCGTTGATTGGGTTGGGAAATAGAAGGGAGGAGGTCTGGAGTGGGGTCGTACGTTGATTGGGTGGGGAAATAGAAGGGAGGAGGTCAGGAGTTGGGTGAGGCGTTGATGGGGTGGGAAATAAAAGGGAGGAGGTCAGGAGTGGGGTCGTGCGTTGATGGGGTGCAGGAAAAGAAGGTAAGAAGTCAGGAGTTGGGTGGGGCGTTGATGGGGTGGGAAATAGAAGGGAGGAGGTCAGTAGTGGGGTCGTGCGTTGATGGGGTGGGGAATAGAAGATAAGAAGTCAGGAGTTGGGTGAGGCGTTGATGGGGTGGGAAATAGAAGGGAGGAGGTCAGTAGTGGGGTGGGACTTTAACGGGTTGGGGAAATAGAAGGGATGAGGTCAGGAGTGGGATAGGGCATTGTTGGGTGGGAAAATAGAAGGGAGGAGGTCAGGAGGGGGGTAGGGTGTGATTGGGTGGGGAAATAGAAGGGAGGATGTTAGGAGGGGGTAGGGTGTGATTGGGTGGGGAAATAGAAGGGAGGATGTTAGGAGTGGATTCGGGTGTTGTTGGGGTGGGGGAATAGAAGGGAGGAGGTCAGGAGAGTGGGGTGGAGGATTAGAAGGGAGGAGATCATGAGAGTGGGGTTTGGGCGTTGATGGGATTGATGGTATAGGACAGAAGGAATGGGGCGGGGCGGTGTTGGTGTTACGGGAGCTAGAGGAGGATTAGGTTAGTGGGGTGGGGCGTTGTTCGGGTTGATGGTATAGGACAGGAGGAGTTGGGCGGGCGGTGTTGGGGGGATTGGAGCTAGGGGGGGACTGGGGAAGTTGGGTGGGGCGTTGTTCGGGTTGATGATATAGGACAGGAGGAGTGGGGCGGGGCGGGGCGGGGTAGGTGGGACGGGAACGAGAGAGGGATTTGGGAAGTGGGGTGGGGCGTTGTTCGGGTTGATGGTATAGGACAGGAGGAGTTGGGCGGGGCGGGGCGGTGTAGGTGTGACGGGAACGAGAGAGGGATTGGGGAAGTGGGGTGGGGCGTTGTTCGGGTTGATGGTATAGGACAGGAGGAGTTGGGCGGGCGGTGTTGGGGTGATTGGAGCTAGAGGGGGATTGGGGAAGTTGGGTGGGGCGTTGTTCGGGTTGATGGTATAGGTATGTCACGTCAAACTAATGGAAAGATGGGCATGAGTGCTACGAAAAGAAAGGAAGACAGAAAAAAAAAAGAAAAAAAAAGAGCAAAATATATTAATTCAGAAACAGCCTTTTATCATAAGGCACATTCTTACTTTTTTTAAACAGAAAAACAAAAGACTCTTCCATTAGTACTTCGAATGTCGGTCCTTCTTTGGGGGTCTGATTTGTATTAAATTATTTGTATATTATTATATTGTGTCGAATAATTTGTATCAATATCCGTATGTATTCGTTTATAATTGATGTACATGTATTTGTATTTTATAATGTTGTGTCTAATTATTTGTATGAAGATGTACACACACAGCGACTGTCTGATTCCGAATCTGTATGCTTCTATGTGTGTAAGAAAAATCCCAGCCAACAATATCTGAGTCCATATTTGGTGTCATTTTTGTACACACACCGTCTAATTATCTGTTTTGTTTTTGTTTTTACAAGTAAAAAGGTACATACAGATTAATTATGTCGATCATGAGAGTGCTTTATGTTTGTTGGAGGAGTTGATCAAAACAAAACAAAACCACGTTCGATTCCACAAATCTGATTCTGATGAAAATCACTAGTAAAGGCACTTAAGCGGGTCTGGTGTTGATTTATGATAAATTAAAATTAACTCTATAAACCAGGATATAAATTTTAAATGTAATCAGCGATAAAGTAGTTTTAACAATTTACTTTCTTTGTGATACAGAAAAATACAACATGCAGTGGACAAATAAGCGAAAATTTTCGCGTGTGGCAATGTTCGCGATGTGACCATTTAAACTGATCGCAGAGTGGAAATTTTCGCGATGTGACCATTTAACGTGATCGTAGCGTGGAAATGTTCGCTTGTGGATATGTTCGCGATGTGACCATTTAAATTGATCACAGTGTGGAAAATTTCGCGCTGGCAATAGTCCTGATATCAATATATTCTTATCTTTAATGTATATAAT